GGATGGCGACATTGTTAATTATTAGTAACGTGCTGGTGGACGTTAATTCTTACTTAGATGGTGGGCGTATTTTATATTAAACATTTATTCGAATAGTTGTAGGTTATTCGGAGTTCCATCTTTATATCTGCAAGTACAGTAGTATCGGCTAATTCCATTTCAGCAGAATTCTACGGAAGTCAAGATTTGGATTACAAAAGAATGCATTATATTTTATTTAACATTGAAAAAATTAAATTTGATCGATCATAATTTATTTGTATATAAACATAATTTATTTGGTACGACTAATACTGGTACAACTGGTACAACTGTACAAGAAACTAATCGGCTATTCCGATTTTTTTTGTTTAATAACGTGAACAATTACAAAACTATATATTGCACCTTTTATCTGACTTTTATCAATTTGATCCATATTTTTTCATTTCTTCCCATAATATACATTCATTTAACAAATTTCTGAGATAATAAAGTCTCGGAAAATCATTCATTCATAAGATGTATAACATTAACTACTTGATTTTAATCCTAACCTTTTTATATCTCTTAAATACCTCGAGTCAACAAGACATCTCAGTGGATGGTAGCTGCGGTCCTGACTCTTATACCAGATGGTACTATAAAAGTTCTGTTGACAATATAGTTTTATTTCAAGCTTAATGACCATTTTTATCGCTTACCTTTTTTTTAGTCCTGATAATTACTGCTGTTCTCAATGGGGCTATTGCGGCAATACACCCGGTATATTTCTTAATTATTAATTTCTTAAATTGCTTTTTATTAAGCTTAAACTAATTTCTTTCTTAATAGATTTTTGTGATCTGGATCAAGGATGCCAACCAGATTATGGTATCTGTGGCCAAATCTCAAATGATGGTACATGCGGTCCTGACGTAAATAAAAGATGGTACACCTTGTTAATTTAATTACTTATCACTTAATATAAATTTATTTGTTTTCTTTCGGGCTAAATGTTTTTTCTTTATTTTTTTTTTTAGTGGCGGCAGCTATTGCTGCTCTCAGTGGGGTTATTGTGGTAGTACATCTGGTATGTTTCATAATTATTCATATATTTTTTTGGTTTAAATTCTAAAATTATTTAATAACACAGCTTCCTATTAGAATTTTGTGATCCGAATCAAGGATGTCAAAGTGGATATGGTTTTTGTGGCCTTTCAAATGACACTAATCCTGATGATGGAATACAAGTTATTGACACTTGCCAAAATCCTTATACCCTAGCGTTAACTTTTGATGATGGTCCACGCTCTGTATGAAATTTTACATTTTAAAAAAAATTAATTTCAAAATTCGTTTATTTATTTATTTGAATTTCTTTTTAGTGGACAAATGACTTGCTCGATAAACTAGATGAATATGACATAAAAGCTACATTCTTTGTCAATGGTCACAACGAAAATGATTATTGTATTTACGATTTCGCAGAAATTTTGCAACGAGCTTACTCTTCAGGTCACTTAATCGCCCATCAC